GCTGAGGCAGGAGAATTGCCTGAACCCAGGAGGCGGAGGTTGCGGTGAGCCGATATCGCGCCATTGCACTCCAGCCTGGGTAACAAGAGCGAAACTCAGTCTCGAAAAAAAAAAAAAAAGTAGTAAATGCCTATGCTGATTGTGGCATTTTATGTATATTATCTTATTTAATTCTTGCAATAAACATGCAAGATGTGATAACATCTCCATTTTATCAGTGAGGAAGCGGAGACTCACAATGGCTAAGTAACTTGCTTGACTTGCTAGTAAATTGCAGAACGAGGATGTAGAGAAAGAAATCAATGACTTCAAGGATATGGGGTGCTCTCTTCCTTGTACCTTACTCTCTCAGGTTATAAATGAGGAGACTGCACTAAGGTAGACAAGATCTTGCCCTCTCTGGTTTCAGTTCTGTCTAGCACAGTTGATCTTACCAACTTAGTGTATAAACAACATTTTAATGAGCTGTCCTCATGAAACAAGCCAAGAAATCCAACCAAGTATTTTTTTTATTTGGAGTTACTGTTGTGATTAAGGACCCACCCATATCCAAAGAATCAGCTAGCCACAAATGGAATCAGTGAAGTATCTTTACATGATTCTTAGAATATTTATTTTAAAAGACACCAAATAAGGCTGAGTGCAGTGGTTCATGCCTGTAATCCCGATACGTTGAGTGGCCGAGGTGGGAAGATTGCTTGAGCACAGGAGTTTGCTGAGCAACATAAAAGACTCCATCTCTGCAAAAAAAAAATATAGATATATGTTTTTTTCATAAATATATACATTAAAATATATATATATACACACATTTTTTTTTTTTTTTAATTAGGCAGGGGCCCGGTGCAGTAGTGCATACCTATAATCTTAGCACTTGCACTTTGGGAGGCGGAGGTGGGAGGATTACTTGATCCCAGGAGTTTGAGACCAGCCTGGGAAACACAGTGAGCCCCATCTCTCTTTTTTTTTTTTTTTTTTTTTTTTTTAATTCACCTGGGTACAGGTGGGCCAAGGCCAAAAAGGGCGTTAGCCAAGCCCCATCTCTACAAAAAATAAATTTTAAAAAAGTTAGCCAGGTGCAGTGGCACACTCCTGTAGTACAACTTCCCGGGAGGCTGAGGTGAAAATTTACTTGAGCCTGGGGGCAGCAGTGAGCTATGGTCATATCACTACACTGAAGCCTGGGCAACAAAGTAAGATGCCATTGCTAAAAAGAACAGTTTTTGCTAAACGAAAGAGTCATAGAGAATGTGACATTTATGTTAGATCTTAAGGTATATAAAAAAATTAATCTGAACAAAAAGGAAGGAAAGAACCTTGTAAGCAGAAGGAC